TTTAGCTGAGCCATCCTGCCACCTGTTGGCAGCTCAGCAGCAGCTCAGCTCGGGCCAGGAATTGAACCAGCGACCCTGTTGCTCAGAGCTTGCACTCTTGAGCGAGCTCTTAACCAACTGAGCCACTCGGCGGCCCAGGCTAGTTCTTCTTTGAAGCCTGTGGTTCTGATTCTCTCCCTCTGGAGATTGAAGCTCCAGTGGAGACTGGGATACCCTAGGGTCTCACTTTTTCTCAGAGTATGTTCCGTGGACCACTTATACTAGAATTGCTGTTGGTCCTTAAATGGGCACTTTTCTGGGCCTCTCCCAGCCCTCACAGACTCAGATTCTGGGACAGATATTTGGGGAGTACATCATTTTTAATAGTCCTTCAGGTGGTTGTGATGCTCTCTCTCTAAAGCTTGAGAACCACATAATACAAATATTGACATGGATCGCTGCCTGATTGAAACTGTTGCTTTGGTCAGTATTCTAGACCTTTCTTCAGTCCTTAAGGCCACTTCTTGGAATTTCTGGGGCTGTGGCAATATTTTACTATCAGTGAATTTCTCTTCTAGGATGCCAAGGGAGTACAATGAGGATGAAGACCCAGCTGCACGAAGGAGAAAAAAGAAAAGGTGAAGGGAGGATGGAGGAGTGTTGGGTTTTAAAGTGGATAGTGTTTGGGGAAAAGGAATAGAGGCTAGTTATGAAGCTAGAAACTGAGGTTTTCCTTTACTGTCTTAAAGTTTTCTGCTTTCATAGTGGACGGGAGTGATACGTGGACTGGCAGTTTATGGGTTCGGAGTCAGTCTGTGGTGTTTTAATCTCATCTTTACCAGTTTCTAGCTGGATAACTTTGGGCATTTTGCTTAACCTCTCTAATCCTCAATATTCTCCGTGGTAGAAAGGAGATAGTGATAATAACTTTTATCACGTTGTTATGAGGATCAACTGTGATAATGCATGTAAACACTTAGCATCAGTGCCTGGCAAATAGTAACCACTCAATAAATCTTGGCTGCCGTCATCATCATTTATGTGATACCAAACTTTCTGGACCTTTACTTTGGTTTTTCCTCTCTTCTTGGGGAGGACCAGCAAGGAACAATTTATTTTCTGTTGAAATTTGGAAGGTGATAAAAATTCAGATGGCTTCATGGTTGCTGTATGGAAAAGTCTCATACCTGTAGACACTCAGTGATGTGGAGTTGGGTGGCATTAACGAATTCTAAAGTGACAGATGGAGTGTCCTGAGGTGGCATCGGAACAATGTATCTGTGAGCCGGAAGATGCTGTGCTTGTAATTTTGAGGACTGTCAAGAAGTGGCCAGCAGTTCTATCAGGACATACGTGAGCTTTCATCATAGAGTTGGATGAAGGTGTAGGGAAACAGGCAGGAACAGTTCTGCTGACTTTGGGATAGAAGCTGGTGAGCCTGACAAATTTGCCTTTCTTTGGTTAGTTATTATGCCAAGCTTCGCCAACAAGAAATTGAGAGAGAGAGAGAACTGGCAGAGAAGTATCGGGACCGGGCCAAGGAACGGCGAGATGGTGTGAACAAAGATTATGAGGAAACTGAGCTGATCAGCACCACAGCTAACTACAGGGCTGTGGGCCCCACGGCTGAGGCGTGAGTACCGAGGGTGCCAAGGCATGGTTCCCTCAGCACCCCAGAGTCAGATATGAATTCTTCCTCACACTTTGCCTGCTGTGGAGCCCACAGCATGCCATTTCAAGATGCACTTGCCATCCCCAAAGGACTGTTCTAACATGGCCTCTTTCATTCTACAGGGACAAATCAGCTGCAGAGAAGAGAAGACAGTTGATCCAAGAGTCCAAATTCTTGGGTGGTGACATGGAACACACCCATTTGGTGAAAGGCTTGGATTTTGCGCTGCTTCAAAAGGTGAGCCTTGGTTGAGTGGGTAGAGAGTAATACTAAGAGTGCTGAATGCTCCTGTGTGGGCTTTCGAGGTGAGAAGGGAGATTGCTGTTAGTTCAGACTCTCTAGAAGGGCTAACGGTGGCCCCTCTGTAGGACTAATTGCTCCTTATTCTTCAAGTCTCAGTCTCAATTTTATTTTCTTGGGGAAACCTTTCTTAAACACCCAGGTATGGTTAAGTCCCCCATTCCTCACTTCCCACCTCCTGCACCCTTGCATACCTCTTCTATTTCACTTATCATAGTTATCTCACTTTGTTGTTTAGTTGTTTGTCTCTCTCTCCTGCTATAAGCTCCATTAGGGCAAGGATTGTATTATTTAGTATTGAATTCTTAGTTCCTGGCACAGTGTGGCACAGTGGTATTCAATAAATATATGCAAAATGAATAATAAACCCTACTTGCTTTCCTATTAGGTACGAGCTGAGATTGCCAGCAAAGAGAAAGAGGAAGAAGAACTAATGGAAAAGCCCCAGAAGGAAACCAAGTAAGTAAACATGAGGAAGAACTTGAGAGTTTAGAAAGGAGGAACCAACAGTAGGAACACATTTAGCAAAAAAAATTTTTTTTTTGTCTTTTCAGGAAAGATGAGGATCCTGAAAATAAAATTGAATTTAAAACACGTTTGGGTGAGTATAGAGTTTTTACACTAGTGGCTCTGCATTCTAGGCGAATTGTAGGGAATTTAATGCTCTGGGCAGGATAAGCTTCCCCTTTCCCTCAGCCTGTGTTCCTCTCTTTTTTGCCTCCGAACTAGCCTGTTCCCATAAAATACTCTTAACAGAATTTAGATGTGGACTTAATTGTTTCCTATATGTTATTAATGTCTCCTTAGTTAGGTTGGAAGCTTGGGGCCTATACGTTAAGGAAGGTAGGCATTGTTGGTGATTAAAAGCGCAGAATTTGCAGTCAGAGATGCCTGGGTTTGAGTCCTGATAATGAAACTACACCAGGCGTGTGATTTTAGGCAAGTGACTTCATTTCTCAGCACCTGTTTGTCCATCTGCAAAAATGGGGTTTATGTTCACCTCACTGGATTATTGGGATGAAGAAAAGTAATATATGCAGTGTGCCTATCATGTTGAGCATGGGGTAGAGCTGGTGTTTCCATCATCATCAGTATTACGTTAAACCTCATCCATGCTAGGCACACAGTGCCCTTGAGAAGGCAATATAGAAGAGTGGATAGGAGCTCAGGCTTTGGCCTCATTCTTTGTCCTGTCACTTGGTAGCTATATGACTTTTGATAAATCACTTAACTCTCAGCCTTAGTATTCTTACCAGTTAAAAGGAGACAGTAAAGGCACTTTACAGGGCTGCTGTGAAGATTCAATGAAGCAAAGCAAAGCATGCATAGTAGTTGGCTTGGTGGCTGGCACAGAGTAAGCACTTAGTAAATGGCAGCTGTTGTTGTAGAAGGTTCTCATTGCCACTTGCTGCTCTTCCTTTTGTCTGTAGGCCGCAATGTTTACCGCATGCTCTTTAAGAGCAAGGCCTATGAGCGGAATGAGCTGTTCTTGCCGGGCCGCATGGCCTATGTAGTAGACCTGGATGACGAGTATGCTGACACGGACATCCCCACCACTCTTATCCGCAGCAAAGCTGATTGCCCCACCATGGAGGTGAGTGACCCGAATCCTGAGAGCCTTTCACATGAGCCGCAAACCTGGGAATCCACCTCAGTTCTGCCCCAGGTCTCATCAACCACATTTAAGCCATCACCAAGTCCTGTCTCGTTTTACCTCTTAAATCTCAATTGCATCATTCACTTTTCTTCATCTCTACCAATAACATTCTAATCTAAGCCATCATCTCTTGCTGGAACTATTAAAAGAGGCTCCTACTTGGTTTCCCCATTTCTACTCTGGTTCCCTTCCATTATTTAATTTATTTTTAATTATTACTGAGATGTAATTCACATGCCATAAAACTTGCCCTTTTAAAGTGTACAATTCAATGGCTTTTAGTATATTCATAGAATTGTACAACAGTCATCACCATCAATTTTAAAACATTTTCATCACCCCAAAAAGAAACCTGTACTTTCTAGCCATTACCCCCACCCAATTTCCCCATCCCCTTTCTACACATGGCCAGAGTGATCATTTCAAAATGCGAATTTTTGTCTCACCACAGTTTAGAAGCTTTCAGTAGTTTCTCACTGTTAGGATAAAGAGCAAAATCTTTACTGTGGCCTATGAGTCTCCTCAACGTCTGGCCTTTCCATCCTGTTTTCACTGTGCTTCCCTGTTGTTTGTTCTCCAGTCATCCTGGCTTTCTTGAATTTGCTGGAGTCACTTTTCACCCAGGCCTTCGAGTATGCTCTTTCATTTGTCTGGAATGTCCTTCTACAACACCTCCTTTCTCAGACTTCACCTAGCTAATTCTAACTTACCCTTCAATTTGTTAAGCAAATGAATGAATACCTGAAGAGTTTACTGCTCAGTGGAATAACATTCTTGCTTCTTGGGGTTTTCAGGCCCAGACCACACTGACCACAAATGACATTGTCATCAGCAAGCTCACCCAGATCCTTTCCTATCTGAGGCAGGGTACCCGAAACAAGAAGCTCAAGAAGAAGGATAAAGGTAACCTGGAGGGTTAGGGAGTGAAACCTTACCCCTGGAAGAGCATTTGAGGATGGAACCAAGGTCTCCTGGAGCCTTCTGTCTCCAGAACATTGGGAGGCTCCTTGGGAACAAAGAAAAACGGGAGCAATGGCGTATTGGCAAAGAGATGGTTACATCCGGGTTTTGTCTGTTTGACCCACCCAGGAGGCAGTGGTCAGTTTTGAGGCAAGAGGAGGGCGAGTATGGGTAGCTTTTGTTGTCCCACCTTATAAACAAGACGTTTAAAAGGGCATTGAGAATTAGAGAGCATGGCAAGGCTGAGAGAGAAATAACTGAGGAGTTCTTGACATTCCTCTCTACATTTTAGGGAAGCTGGAAGAGAAGAAACCCCCTGAGGCTGACATGAAGTAGGTATCCTAGTCCCTGTCACCTGATCTGAGGGAAGAAGGGGGCTCTGTTTTTTGTCTTGGGCATTTTGGGGAAGCCTTGGTGGGAGAAACTGGAGAAGTGGCCAGGGGAAGTGGAAGTGTGTGTGTGACACTGGCAGCCAGTGATATCTGTTTTCCTAGTATATTCGAAGACATTGGGGATTATGTGCCCTCCACAACCAAGACACCTCGGGACAAGGAGCGGGAGAGATACCGGGAACGGGAGCGTGATCGGGAGAGAGACAGAGACCGTGACAGAGAGCGGGAGCGAGAACGAGATCGGGAGCGGGAGCGGGACCGAGAGAGAGAGGAAGAAAAGAAGAGACACAGCTACTTTGAGAAGCCAAAAGTGGACGATGAGGTGAGATGTGGCCCTGGTACCAGGTGGTGGAGCTGCCTGTCTCTCTGCCTTCCCAGCCAGGCACAGGACCCCTCTGGTATATTGGTACCTCATGGTTCCATAGCAGCAACTGGGTCAACTAATCCAGGGTAGGAACCATCCTAGAAATGGGGGCAAAAGGGGGTAGGAAATTGATTCAAACTTGGGGGAAGGATGAATGAGAATCCCTCATGGTGACACTCACTTCAGTTTCTGTTTTCTTTCCAGCCCATGGATGTTGACAAAGGTGGGTTGTATCCAAGGCATCTTGCATGGGATCTGGCAGTCCTCCTTTTCCCTGGCTGAGAGTCTGACCTTGAGCTCACCTGGCAAGGGTGGGCTTGGGGACTTGGTGGTTCTGGGTTCTCATAAGATTCATGTCTTGCTGTATGAAAAAGACAAAAGGTGAGCTTGGAGTTCCTTCCGTCTTCCTGGGCAATGGCAGGGCATTATTTGCTCTGTTAGATATGATTCCTCCAGCTGTGGGGTTCTGAGGATGTGCGGCAGGTTGAGCAGGCACACGACCCCATCTCAACCAGAGAAACTCCTTAGTTGGGATCTGATTAAAATTTTGCTAGCTAAAAGGGTTCTGTTACTTTAAAAAATGTTTTTATGAAAGCTACAGGTTGGAAGTGTGTTGTAGAGAAGAGGTTGTAAGTTCCTCATTTCAGTGTCTTAATAGAGTTCCCTTTCCCCCAGGACCTGGATCTGCCAAGGAGTTGATCAAATCGATCAATGAAAAGTTTGCTGGTTCTGCTGGCTGGGAAGGCACTGAATCATATCCTTTATTTCAATATGTTCCTGGGTTTAGAGAATTGTTCTCTTTTCATTCCAACTCCACCTGCCTTCCTGCTTGCCCTCAGCCCCACTCCGTGCCTTTTGTGTTGAATTTTGACAGAGGTGAAGTCATTATGAATTTTCCCTTTCCCAGAGGACCTGTTCAAGTCCACAGTCCTCTCCTTAGAGTTTTCAAGTTGGGGCTTCTAGCCCATGACTCTTCCCGCTTGAAGCTTTTCTGCTACAGGCAGAATTATTTTCTTTAACATAGCGTATGCTGAAGAAGCCAGAGGACAAGAAGCAGCTGGGAGATTTCTTTGGCATGTCCAACAGTTATGCTGAGTGCTACCCCGCCACGTACGTGAGACATTTTAAAGAAGGGAGGTGGGGATGATTGGAGAACGAGTGGGATGGGGGCGGTGGGAGGAGCGCGATGAGTGGAAATTTGATTTGCTGGGATCCACCGGTATTTATTACTTGGATGAACTATTCTATTAGGCTCTGAGGGGGAGGCCTAGGGGGATGGTCATGCCTAGGCATATAGCCTCCTACTTGGGTAGGTTTCCGGATGAAGTATAGGAGTCTGGGTCTGCACCATCTGTTTAACTGTTGCTTCTCTTTAGGATGGATGACATGGCTGTAGACAGTGACGAGGAGGTGGATTATAGCAAAATGGACCAGGTATGGAGTTGGGAGGATGGGGGAGGGCTCTTGGGCAGCTATTCTTTAGTACATATCCTTTTCCCCACTCCCAAAAGGTCTGTGCCTCATTTACTGGTCCATCCTCACCTTCCCTCAGCTGCAGTAATGGGATCAGTGGCATTGTGGGGTCATGGAAAGCTTAACTGTTCTAAAGTGTACAAAATCAAACGAGATAGCACCAAAAATATATTTCTTTTTATTTCCTACAAAGCGACAGGCTTTCATTTCTATGGTAGGAAGTAAGCAAGTCTTTAGTGTATAACTAGAAAGGGCAGAAGGAATTGCACTCTTTAGAAAATAACTGAATTTTATTCCAGCTGGTATTGAAATTTTCCTCCAAGTCTTAAAATGAAAACAAAAAAATTCAACAAACACTAACACCATTGATAGTGAAAAATTTTCATCTGCTTTTTCCTTGTTCTCTCTGTACTGCAATGGTTAAGATCATGGTTTAATTCCATCTTGGAGTCTTAATCCTGGCCCTGCCATTTATTAGTTTTGCAACGTTTCTAATTTATTTTTCCACTTATGCCTCAGTTTTGTCCTCAGGGAAATGAAGAGAAATACGTTTTCTCTTAATAAGTTTTTGAGAGCATTAAATAAGATAGGTGTGTAGTGTTTAGATTAATGCCTGGCACATAATAAATACATAGTAAGCATTTATTATTTATTAGGGTAGGATTTATGAATCATGAAATCTGGGATTGTGGGAGAGCCTGGTTTTAATCAAGGGCTAAAACTTTGTTTTCACTGACATTTCTTCCTTCCCTGTTTCCCATTCTGTCCTGCAACAGGGTAATAAGAAGGGCCCCTTAGGCCGCTGGGACTTTGATACCCAGGAGGAATACAGCGAGTATATGAACAACAAGGAGGCTTTGCCCAAGTGAGTTGGTTATAGCCAGGGTGTGAGGAGAGGGATGGGGATGGGTGTACCAGCCCACACCAGATTAGAGGGTATAGTCTGGCTGAGACATTTCCAAATAGGTTCTCTGCTCACAGGGCCCCCGGGAATACCTTGCTACTGCTATGCAACCTCTGATGCCTTCTTCCCCCAATCCCCCCCCCCTTTTTTTTTGTGTCAGGGCTGCGTTCCAATATGGCATCAAGATGTCTGAAGGGCGGAAAACCAGGCGCTTCAAGGAAACCAATGACAAGGCAGAGCTTGATCGCCAATGGAAAAAAATTAGTGCAGTAAGTGGGACTGTCTCTGTGGTGGGAAGTTTTCAGCTGGGAGAAGACACAGAGCCAGGGACAGGCAAAGGATTGGAGAGCCATAGAAGTAGGAGTGGTCAGCGTAGGGCCTCAGGTGGGCTTAGCCTGACAGCAGAACTGTCAACTATGATGTACTTTTTGCAGATCATTGAGAAGAGGAAGAAGATGGAAGCTGACGGGTAAGCAGCAGCATTCTTTCTCTGTAGGCCTGATGGGAATTGCTTAGTGTATTGATCTTATGCTGACTCATTGCTCCTCCCATTGCAGGGTTGAAGTGAAAAGACCAAAATACTAATCTCCATTTCCAACTCCAAGAGGAATCTGCACAGGATGTGCTCCCCACGCCTTACTTTCTACAATTCCCAAAATAGTTGCAAGTTTTTGGTTATTTTTAATTAATGTATATAAAATGTTACTGTGTAATCATTTGGTTCCATTAAAATTGGTTAACCTGCTGTCTTCTCTATGTTGAGCATCCCCCCGTCCAGGGCTCCTGAGGCACCAAGAGGGCTATTAATTCTACTGATTATATAAAATCACATGCAGAAAGCTCAGTTCTTTCCTTTCCTGAGCTGTGGTTCTAGATTCCTAGACAGTAAGGATGTTTAGTCAGGGTGCCCAGGGGAGGAGGGAATGACTCTCACTGATGGGCAAGAGGTGGATACAGGAATGTAAGGATGATTGGTCTCAAATGTCAGATTCATTCAGACCCGTTAGGGGGCCTATGCTTAGGGCAGAGATTCCCTGGGGATTAGGGGCAGCCCAGTGAGCTGCCAATCTGATCCCAAGATTGTGCACGACTGGGCGCTAGGTAAACTCACCTGATGACAAGCACTTGTGGAACAAAAACCTTTTATGAATTTATGCCCCCCTGGGAGCTTTAATAGTTCCAAGCACACGTCCCTGCTTCCCTGGCCGAAGGGATGACCTTGGGGAAGGGCTGTGGGGAATTCCTGTTCTAGGCCACAAAGTTTTGGTGTGACCTTCAACACTCTGAAGATCAGTTTACTGAGGCCCAGGATGGGCTCCCTAGCCTCTAAATCACTCTATCGCTGCCCTTTTCCTCCTCTCTGCCCATTGCTAGCACTTTGGTCTGGTACTCATCAATAAAGGTCACTACTTTCTGGCTAGATTCCTAGCCGCCACTGCCTGTTCTGAGCCTAAGACCCATGGGCTCATCAGATCCAAGGAAAGCTAGAAGGCTACCTTAGCCATTGCCCTTGGTCACTTTCACATTGATAGGGCAGGCTTTTTGAGGAAGCCAGTTTTGTGGATTGCACCTAAAAAGCTGAAATTGGGCCTTGTCTGCAATAGCACCTAGACTGGCTAATTTCAGACAGTAAATGACACCCAGGTTTCATGGTCATAGGCAGCAGTCTCAATTAGGAAAAAGGTCACAGAGACCTGGCTTAGATGAAAATACCCAGAGGGTCACTAAGATCAAGACCTGGGGATTGAATGCTAATTTAAAGTCAGTTTCTGCCAGTAGCTCCAATCCTCGTGGAAGTGACCAAGACCCTCTGGTTCACCACACAGTGAGTGACAAGGACTCCGAACACCACACAGCAACTTTCTAGTCACACAGGACAGAGAGGTCCCTAACCTCACTTCTTCCACCTCTCAAGGGGTTGGGCATCAGTGTATAAAAGGTCTTAGAAAGCTTAATACCACAGTCGTGAGAAGGTTCTCTCTAGCACAGGAGCTCCTGCTCATCTGCTGCACCACACAGAGTGATCCTATCTTTGTGGAACCTGTTAACTAGAATGTCCAAAACATGAACTCTTGTGCCCATTTTCCTCTTCAACTTGCCAGCTCTGAGTGAGCACTGCTGGCCTTGCCCGCTGCAGGTGTGCAGCCTAATTGTAAGAATGGGCAGGTTGCTGTTTCTTCAGCCATGAAGATTTTGAGCATGGACAGCAGCAGCTTAAGCGTTTGTGTGCACGGGCAGCCTGCTGTTTATGACTCCCCATGTGAAATTCTCAGGGCGTGGGCTTTTGCTGCTTCCTGACCAACCTGGCTGACACATGTCATAGTCTTGGGTTTCACCAAGCCATGAACGACTGGCGTCCCCCTAAATCCTTCACTGGTTCTATGGAAAATAACCTCACAGGGTGATCTGATCATAAATTCCTAGCTGGGCAGGTCATGGTGGATAGTCACGCCCCAGACATACAACCTTTTTTAGTAAAAGGTTTATCTTTGCCTTAAGGAAGTCCTGTCCACTGCTTCTGTAGGTTAACACAACTTTGAAATAACAATCCTTAAGTGAGCATGTAATCTTAACTATCCTATAATCCAATCCTCAACTTGCTCTCTCCTCCCTTCCTGTAATCTTCCTTACAGTCATGCTCTCTTTAATTTCAAATGCATAACAGAAGCTGCAAAACTGTTATTCTCCAGAACATTTGAGATCTTGCTCCCCAGTGTTATGTCATCAGTTTGGCTCCAATAAACTCATAAAAATTCTCTACAGGTTTGGATGTTTCTTATGTTGACAGGGAGGTTGTACCAAACTGTTAGCATTGGTCAGGAAGAGGGGAAAGGACTTAAACATAGTTCCCAACTTTACCTGAAGTGACTGAATAGGGGATTGACAGTCGTGCAGTCTAGTTGGCCCAGGAACGTTGGTGGAAACACAGGGAAATAACGGACCAGGGAGTGAAACCGCTAGGATCCGTTCCACGCACACCAGCTGCAGCCACCCGCCTTTTCCCGGGTTAGGAAGGACGCCCTGGCGCCACTTCCGGACCCGCCCCTCGAACGCGGAAGTGGTGCCCTGAGCTACTACTCCCTCCGGGTCGCTGGTTCCTGGCTTTTCTGCTCAACTGCTTCGTGGCTTGGAATCCTCCCATGCATGGACCGCACGTGCGAAGAGAGGCCTGCGGAGGATAAGAGCGACGAGGGGGACTCCGACTCCACGGAAGTCCCGGCCCGGATCCGGGACACCCCGGAAGACATCGTTTTGGAAGCGCCGGCCAGTGGGTTGGCGTTCCATCCGGCCCGCGACCTCCTGGCAGCGGGGGACGTGGACGGGGACGTGTTCGTGTAAGTGCACTGCAGGGCCGGGGGCTTGGTGAGCTCGGTGGGCGCGTGGGCTGTCGGGTCTGGAAATTCCCCAGGGGTGGAGCTGGGACGAGGAGAGAGGATAGTTGCAGCGAGACAAGTTTGGAAGAATCATCTGGTCCGATTCATTAACATTCGGCTTTAAACAAGCTACCATACAAATCTTTTGAAAGACTGAAAGGAAGACTAAGTGGCTGTACTGTCGTTAGGGAGCCCAGAGACAGTAAGTAGCAGGACAAGAAGGCTTTTCAGGGCACTATTTCCCACCGATTACTACAATATACTGAGTGGAAACAGGCTCAGTGGGGCCCCCTGATTTGCTTCTCGTCCACTTTAATTGATCTTTGTAAAACACAAATCCGACCACCTCACTCTCTTGATTAAAACCCTCAATTTACCTTTGCTTTTAGGATTAAGTCCAAACTCCTTACTCTGGCTTTCAGAGCCTTGACCCTCTAGGCTCGCTCTTGCTTGCTTTTCCCTTTGATTTCATTCATCCTTACCTTTATAACTTATCTTGAAGCCTCAGCTCCTTTACACGTTATTCCCTGTGCCTCGAAAACTTCCCCTCACATGTACCTACTACCCTGAGTTTTCAGCATCTCTTCACTCTTCCGCCATGCCCTAGACTAAATTAGATTACCTGTTAGGTGCTCCCTTGGCATCAGATACCTTTTCCCTCATAAACTTCATAATGGTTTGTAATCATAAACAGTTTATGTAATTATTCAAATGCTTGTCTCACCATTAAAAAATTTGAATGTTTATTAAGCAGCTTTTCCACGCTAGGCACTAGGGTAGAGCAAACAGTAAGTAGACCCAGTTCTGCCCACCTGGAGCTCACTGGCAATTAAGCACTTACTCATTTGGCTCTTTAGAGGCTATGCTCCGAGGCAGGCACTGGGCATACCCTCTGGGACAGGTGCTTGCCCCGAAGGTGAGTTTATAGGCTGTTGTCTCTGCTCCATCTCCATTTTGATCCTGTCTCCTTTTCAGCATGTGGTCACAATATGCCTTGTGACTTTCTCTGGTTCCTGGAGTGCAAGAGCTCTGTCTTACTAATCTTTACATTTCCAACTTCTGGGGCTCTTCTTGTCATTAATTTAACAAATGTTTCTGGGCCTTCACAGAGGTCCAGACCTAATCTTTCCCCAGGCGGGGGCTTTCAAGGATGAAGAGGGTTGGGGTGATGTCACAAAGAAGTCCCAAGCAAATGTACTTTTTTTTGTTTTAAGATTTTATTGGGGGAACTGGGGGAAGGGAACAGCGCTGGGGAATCGGGGGGAAGGGGAACAGACAAGTTGCTGTCATTTTGTTCTTCAGTCTAGTTGTGGAGGACGTCACTTCACTGGCCCATGTTGATATTATCATTGCGCTGTTCCCGGATGAGGCAGATCAGTCGCCGGCCTCTGCACAGCCGCTCACAACGGCTCTTGGCAGCTCAAACCGGCTGCCGGCTGCTCACGCTGGCTGCCAGCCACACACAGTAGCTTATGGCAGCCCACTGCAGCAGGGGCTGCAGCCTATACTGTCGCTGGCAACTCACGGCAGCCCAGCTCCAGGTTGAGCTGTTGTTCACCATCTTAGCTGTAGAGGGCAGTGTCACTGGCCCTAATGTGGGATCCGAACCAGGACAGGACTCTGCTGCTCAGAGCTGGCATCCCAAGCCAGCTCTTAACCAATGTGCCACTTGGCCAGCCCGCAAATGTACTTTTAATGTATATCAAATGAGAAAAAACCTAACGTTTGAAGCTCATTGAAAATGGAAAAATGGGATGGTAAGCCCCTTGGGCTTAGCAGTGTACAAGGAGGAACTCCTAGGTAGGTGGAAGGGTGGCTAGTTGGTCTCTACATTCCATGCATCCTTGGCAGGGTCTGGGGTCACTCACTCTTTCCATCTCTCCCCAGCTTTTCCTACTCTTGCCAAGAGGGAGACACCAAGGAGCTGTGGTCCTCAGGTCACCACCTCAAGTCCTGCCGAGCTGTGGTCTTTTCTGAAGATGGGCAGAGTGAGTATTAGGGAAGGCAGCCAGCAGTGTGGTGGTAGGAAGGAGCAGTGGGCAGCACCATGACCTGGGCACCTTTTTCCCCCAGAACTTGTTACTGTCTCCAAAGACAAAGCCATCCACGTTCTAGATGTGGAGCAGGGCCGACTGGAAAAGCGCATTTCCAAGGCTCATGGGTAAGGGGAACTAATTGTGCATTGAGATGCGGGGTAAGGACTTGTAGCTCCCTACTGGGACAAAGATGCTCCAAGAACTTCTGCATCTGTGTCTTTAGTGCCCCCATCAACAGTCTGCTGCTGGTGGATAAGAATGTTCTGGCCACTGGGGATGACACAGGTGGCATCCGGCTCTGGGACCAGCGGAAGGAGGGCCCTTTTATGGATATGCGGCAGCATGAGGAGTACATCGCTGACATGGCTCTGGACTCAGACAAGAAGCTGCTGCTGACAGCCAGGTGCACCCTCAAAGCTGCATCCCCTCCCTTTCCTATGTTAAGTGTCTCCCTCAGTGGGAGTTTCCAGCCAAGCCTGCTGCTCTGCTCTCTCTACAGTGGGGATGGCTGTCTTGGTGTCTTCAATATTAAGCGACGCCGGTTTGAGCTGCTTTCAGAACCTCAGTCTGGAGACCTGACCTCTGTCACAATCATGAAAGTACAATTGGGGGTGATGGGATGGGGGTGTGGTAGGGACTTGTCTGACATGGCTCCACAAACATGGTTTGCCCTATTTCGCTGCAGTATGGGAGGAAGGTGGCCTGTGGCTCCAGTGAAGGTACCATCTACCTCTTCAACTGGAATGGCTTTGGGGCCACAAGTGACCGGTTTGCCCTAAGAGCCGAGTCCATCGACTGCATGGTTCCAGTCACTGACAGTCTGCTGTGCACTGGCTCCACCGACGGAGTCATCAGGTGAGAGAAGCCGGGCCCTCAAATCATCAGAAGGGCAGGCCCAACCAGCCAATACTCAACACTCTTCTCTCTGCCCAGGGCTGTGAACATCCTGCCGAACAGAGTGGTGGGCAGCGTGGGTCAGCATGCTGGGGAGCCTGTGGAGGAGCTGGCCCTCTCCCACTGCGGCCGCTTCCTGGCCAGCAGTGGCCATGACCAACGCCTCAAGTTTTGGGACATGGCCCAGCTGCGATCTGTGGTGGTGGATGACTACCGTCAGCGCAAAAAAAAAGGAGGGCCACTACAGGCACTGAGCAGCAAGGCCTGGAGCACCGATGACTTCTTTGCAGGACTGAGGGAGAAGGAAGAGGAGAGTGAGGACGACAGTGACTGAGAGGATAAACTGAAAACAGGTCCTCATTGGGCAAGAGTTTTCCTTCCTGGGCTGGATCCCCAGAGAGGCTATGAATTTATCATACCTTATTGTGCAATGCAGAGAGATGAGCAGACAGAGGCTCAGGGCACCAATGTGGGGAAGTAGAGTTGCTCACTCTACCCATGTAAGATAAGCCCACAGCTGGGGCAAGACAGCATGGACACAGGTGTACACCAACCAGGGGTTTAATATAAATACAACCAGCATAGAAAAACAATCTACAAACACCAAAATCAGAATTCCAAGTGGTGGGGGCAAAAGGCAGATTTTTGACCCTTTGGCTCAGCCAGCCCCCAAATAAAAACCAACAAAAACAAATCAAGGGAATAAGTGAAGATTCATGCTAAGCTGGGGGGGGGG